GGTGTTCTCATAGCTGAAAAGAACTTGTTGGTAGCTGCTGATCTTAACTTTTTGTGCTAGCACTGGTGCTTAAACTCAGGGCCTGGGCACTGTCCCTTTGCTTCTTCACTGAAGACTAGCATTCTACTGTTTGAGTCACAGCTCCTTCTGGGATCATTTTGGTGATTAATTGTAGGTAAGAGCCTCATGCACTTTCTTTCACAGGCTGGCTTGGAATCTTGATCCTCAGATCTCAGCTTCCTAAGGAGCTAGACTTGCAGGTATGAGCCACTGCCATCCAGCTAGAACTTTCTAAATCCTCTTATATGCTGATGCCTAACATGCTTGAGGAGGGAAAAGTGAGGTTAGGGGGCTTCAAGCAGGAGGTTATGTCTAATTTGCTGGCTAACTGGGGAGGGCTCTGCCCCTCCACCCCACTCCGCCCAGTTTCAGGGCTTGAACTCAGGGCCTAGGCACTTTCTCTGAGCTTTCTCCCCTCAAGGCCAGCACTCTACACTTTAAGCACCACTTCTGGTTTTCTGGAAGTTAACTGAAGGTCAGAGTCTCATGGACTTTCCTGCCTGGGCTGGCTTTGAACAAGATCCTCAGATCTAAGCCTCCTGAGTAACTAGAATTACAGGCGTGAGCCACCAGCACCAGCACTAGAGCTTTTATCCCCCGAGGCTGGGTGGTATTTGCAGAAATTGAATTTCAAACTGGCAGTCAACCTCCAGTTCATGGCCTTTTACCTAATTAGGAGTTCAGCCTACAGCCATGAGACCCATGATGTCATGTCTGAAATTAGTTATTCCAAGTGCTGTCACAGAAAGGGCCCAAGTTTAGCCTTTAAATGTCACTGATAAAATCAGCTTCTTCAGAAAGCCCTTTTCTAGGAATTGGGGGTTTAGCTCAGTTGTAGAGGGCATGTCATGTTTGATATACATAAAGCACTGGGTTGGATGCTTGGCACTGCAAAAATGAACAAAAAAAGCCCTTTTCTATCAGGAAAAAATGATCAAGGATAATGGCTATGCTTAGGGACTTTCTAGCTTTTCTTGGATCTGGTGAACCTGAGGTCTTAGACTCATAGTACACATTGACATGGAGACATTTAATCTAAATGAAGTGCTGACTCCTAATAATAAATACCAAAGTACTGACAGTGAGCAGAAAGCAAGAAAGGGGGAAAGAGACAGAATGGTATGGGGAGTAGGTCCACCCTGATCCTGAGCAAACTTTTCAGGATGAAGGGCACTAAGTCGTTTTGGCATAGGAGGGGGATTCTTGGATTGTATGGCCTGGGTACACAAGTTTCGGCCTCAAGGCATTTCCCCCAGATTTTTTCATCCTAGGAGGAAGCATTACTGAAACTCTCAGGAGGGGATAAAGTTTTTATTCCCATATGTGATTTTTATTAGATGCTTTCATCAAGAGCGAAGTCCCATACACGTTTTAGTCCACAGTTTTAGACCATGACAATCTTAGGAACTCTGCTCTAGGACTAACCTCATATAAAACTGAATGAGTCTGATAATTGAGACAACTCATCTTTACATCTGCCTACCTAAACCTAATACTCTTCTCTCAGGGAAGTCATTCTTCTCCCTCCACTGGGCACATTGGCTAGTAAACAAAAATGTAACTTTCTACTTCTAATTTTATACAATTAGTAAAATATGCTTCTTTCTGTTCTAGGGGGATGCTCAAGACAAGACTGGCTACCAATTTTAATGGAATCAGATGTTATGCAATAAAACTTTATACACATTTGCAAATAAAACAACAAATACCACCTTACAACCTTTCTAGAAATTATAGAAAGTAGAGAGAATACCCATGTGGATTTTTCAGTTGGAACTAAAGATTAGTATTTGGGTCTCTTCACTTCAACCTGCAATGGAAGGAGAAACAAGTCAGCATAACCAACAACTGAGCAATTCCCACCAGTCCCACAGAAGAAAAATAATGCTGTTTACCCATCAGCTTCCATCTTCTTCCTCTTCTCAATGATCTGTAAAATGAATAGTGCTAGTTTAAGCCCACCTGAGGTCCAAAGCTGACCTCACACTTCCTTGGTTTCTGCATCTGTGGGCCAGTGTTTGTCCTCCAGCTGAAACCTTCCACCAGAAAGTCCACTTACTGCACTGATCTTCTTCCACTGCCGATCAAGCTCTGCTTTGTCATTGGTTTCTTTAAATCGCCTGGTTTTCCGTCCTTCAGACATCTTAATACCCATACTGGAATGCAGCCCTAAAAAGGCCCATTGAAGGAAGAGGGGCATTAGAAGTTGCATGGCAGTAGCATGGTTTTCAGAGGGTTCTGTGGACAAAGTACTTCTCTGAAAATAGCTCAGCGAAACCATACACTCTAATCAGTGGCTTCTAGTCCACAAAAATTCCACACCCTCTTCATTCTCTGGTGTATTTAGTACCAACTCACTTGGGCAAAGCTTCCTTATGTTCATATACTCGCTGTATTCCTCCTGGGTATCAAAGTCCCAGCGGCCTAAGGGGCCCTTCTTGTTACCCTGTGGAAAAAACAGAAAGAGATGTCAACAGATAAAGAATTTAGCCCTAAGTAAACCCAGACTTTCCCATAATCTCAGTTCCTATTATTCAAAAATTCCACCCTAATAAATAATGCCAGAAGTGGAGCTGTAGCTCAAGTGGTAGAGTGCTAGCTTGTGCAAAAAAAAGCTCACAGACAACATCAGGCCTTAAGTTCAAAACCCAGGTCCAGCATTAAAAAAAAAAATTATGGGGGCTGGAAGGTGGCTCAGTGGTAGAGAGCTTGCCTTGCATGCATGAGGCCCTCCCCCCAATAGCTAGGATTACAGGCATTAGCCACTGGCTCTTTTCCATTTTTTTTTTGCTAGTCCTGGGGCTTGAACGCTGGACCTAGGGCTTAGGCACTGTCCCTGAGCTCCTTTTGCTCAAGGCTAGCACTCAACCACTGGAACCAGCACCATTTCCAGCTTTTTCTGCAAATGAGATAGTCTCAAGGATTTCCCTGCCTGGGCTGGCATAAAGCCATCCAAAGATCTCAGCCTCTTGAGTAGCTAGGATTTCAGTCATGAACCACTGGCGCCCAGGTTCCTTCCCATTTATTAATGTGTGTTCATTTCCTAGGATGGAAGTTAAAGCCTGATATTTTGTTTTGACCTTACCTCATTTAATCTTATGCAAACTACTCAAAACAATTAAGCTGTAATGATCTAAACTGTTAATGTTTTTATAGCTGCAGATGAAGGAAAATGAGGCTAGTAAATGAAACAATATTTGGGGAGTGGGGAAAAGGAAGTATGTTAAAGGATAACTGCCCAAAGGATAACTAAGCTTCATACCTGGTCCATTTTGCTATAATCCACCTCCTCGTCACTATCCACAGCCATGTCATCCATCCTAAAGACAAGAAGCAGTTAAATAGATACCATAGTCCCAGACTACTATATTTTATCCAAAAACCTATCCAGTTAAGAGGTTATTTTTTCTAGGCAGGACCACACCCCTCTACCTCCTACTCAAAGCCCAATAGAAGAGTTCATCCAAAGGGCTGGGAATAGTGGCTTAGTGGTATAGTGCTTGTCTAGCATGCATGAAGCCCTGGCTTCAATTCCTCAGTACCACATATACAGAAAAGCCATAAGTAGCACTGTGGCTCAAGTACTAGAGTGCGCGTCTTGAGCAAAAGAAGCTCAGGAAAAGTACCTAAGCCCTGAGTTCAAGCCCCAGGATTGGCCAAAAAAAAAAAAAAAGAGTTCATCTAAGCAAGAATACCCTGGAATCCCAGCAAGTCAAATTTTCTTTTTTTTTTTTAGGTCCGGTCCTGGGGCCTGAACTCTGGGCACTGGGCGCTGTCCCTCAGCTCTTTAGCTCAAGGCTAGCGCTCTACCACTTGAGCCACAGCGCCACTTCCGGCTTTTTTCTTTTTGCTTATGTGTGCTGAGGAATCGAACCCAGGGCCTCAGACATGCAAGGCAAGCGCTCTACCACTGAGCCACCTTCCCAGCCCTCAAATTTTCACCTGATTCCCAGAACTTGTCTTCCAGTCATCTCACCCTCCCTTCCCTTTCAAGGTCTCACGTACGTGGCAGGATAGCATTCTGCATAACTGTTAGACATGCCAAAGAAATCACCCAGCTGCTTTTTGTCTTCTGGCTTCTTCAATATACGTTATGTTAAAGAAAATTATACTTATTGAAAAACTTCAAGGGCTAATGGCTTCAATATGAAAATTCTCAGAAGCCAGTTCTAGATTTAACCAACAGGGTCCTGTGGGGTGAAACACCATATGGCTTTATCCCTGCCAAAATTCAAGCACAGAAGAAAGCAGAGGAGACAGGTAGAGTTGGAATAAATTAAAAACAGTTCTCTCGGACCATAAAGGATATGACTCCAGTGCCTTCCCAACTAGCAGACCCCTGCAAACTTTTCATTGATTGACTTGATCAAGTCTTTGGCAGACCCAGGTCCTAGAATAAAAGAGAAATTTGCTTAGACTTTGAGCAAGTTCTCTCAATATCTCCCCACAACCTACATCCACCTCCCTTTAAACTATTTTAAGCCAAGCACCAGTGGCTCATGCCTGTAATCCTAAATACTTATGAGGCTGAGATCTGAGGATCACAGTTCAAAGCCAGCCCAGGCTGAAAAGTCTTGTGAGACTCATTCTTATCTCCAATTAAACACCAAAGCCAGGAGTGAGTAGAGCCATGGCTCAAGTGGCAGAGCACCAGCCTTAAGCAATGAGGTTCAGGGGCAGTACCCAGGACCTTAAGTTCAAACCCCAGGGCTGCTGCGCGCGTTGTGCGCACACGCACGCACACGCACGCACGCGCACATACATACACACACACACACAAACACACACACAGCCTACTATATTTTGTTCAGACAAGGTCTTGCTGTCCTGGCTAACCTCAAAATTAGGATCTTACCTCATTTTCCAGGGTGCTGGAAGTATTGTAGTATATCAGTTTTGGCTTATTAAAACATGTTTTTAAGGCAATAGCAACTTTTACAAAAATATTGGGACACTTCACGAATTTGCATGTCATCTTTGCGCAGAGATCATGCTAATCTCGGTATTGTTCGAATTTTAGTATATGTGCTGCTGAGGCGAGGACTAATAACAACGTTTTTTTTTTTTTTGTCGGTCGTAGGGGCTTGAACTCTGGGCCTTGGCACTGTCCTTCAGCTCTTCAGCTCAAGGTGAGCACTCTACCGCGCCACTTCCGGTTTTCTGGTGGTTTATTGGAGATAGGAGTCTCACGGTCTCTCCTGCCCGGGCTGGCTTTTGAACCGTGATCCTCAGATCTCAGCCTCCTGAGTAGCTAGGATTACAGGCGTGAGCCACCAGCGCCCGGCTTAATAACAACTTTTGATCTAACAAAAAAAAAAAATTTTTTTTAAGGTCCAAAACCAGGACTCTGGGGCTGGGAAGGTGGCTCAGTGGTAAAGCGCTTGCCTTGCATGCATGAGGCCTGGGTTCGATTCCTCAGCACCACATAAGCAAAAGAAAAAAGCTGGAAGTGGTGCTGTGGCTCAAATGGTAGAGCGCTAGCCTTGAGCTGAAGAGCTGAGGGACAATGCCCAGGCCCAGAGTTCAGGCCCCACAACCATACCCACTACCATACCTACTACTTTTGCTCATTGGCTAGCACTCTACTAACTGGGCCACACCTCCAACCCTATCTAACAAAATTTTAACCAAACTTCATCTTTTAATGAGTCACTCCAGTTGGGATAACAATAGATTACCCAGAACCACTACACCCTCAACTACGGCAAACCTCAAAACTTCAGGACTGGAGGGCTTTTTCCTTTTGGTCAAGGGGCTTAAACTCAAGGACTGGGTGCTATCCCTGAGCTCTTTGACTCAAGCCTAGTGCTCTGCCACTTTGAGCCACAGCTGACTTCCAGTTTTCTGAGAGTTAATTAAATATAAGAATCTCATAGAGGGGCTGGGAAGGTGGCTTAGTGGTAGAGCGCTTGCCTTGCATGCCTGAGGCCCTGGGTTCGATTCCTCAGCACCACATAAGCAAAAAGAAAAAAGCCGGAAGTGGGCGCTGTGGCTCAAGTGGTAGAGTGCTAGCTTTGAGCTGAAGAGCTGCGGGGACAGCGCCCCAGGCCCAGAGTTTAGGTCCCATGACCGGACCCAAAAAAGAATCACATGGAAAAAAATAAATAAATAAATAAATAAAAATAAAAAAATAAAAATAAAAAGTCGGGCGCTGGTGGCCTCACACCTGTAATCCTAGCTACTCAGGAGGCTGAGATCTGAGGATCGCGGTTCAAAGCCAGCCTGGGCAGGAGAGACTGTGAGACTCCTATCTCCAATAAACCACCAAAAAACCAGAAGTGGCGCTATAGTTCAAGTGGTAGAGTGCTTGCCTTGAGCTGAAGAGCTGAGGGACAGAGCCCAGCCCAGAGTTCAAGTTCCACGACCGACCAAAAAAATAAATAAATAAATAAATAAGAATCTCATGACTTTCCAGCTCAAGTTGACTTTGAACTATGATCCTCAGATCTCAGCCTCCTGAGTAGCTAGGATTATAGATATGAGCCACCCAGTTGGGAGACTTTTATCAAAGAACAAATATTTCCCGCTATTGTTCAGGATAACAGATTCACTCTATTCCATAAAGTAAAACATGGTTCTTATGAAATCCTAGAACCAGGAAATTTCCCCATCCCACCTTCACCAGTTGTAAGCACAAGATCATAATTAGCCTAAGCATTGCTAGAGCCATACAAGGTGTTATGAATACAACCTACCTTTGTCAACATCCATGGGCCTGCAAATAAAACATAAAACAAGGTGAATGTCACTATATAAGATTCTACTCATCCCTCCCCACAAGTCTGAATGGATTTCCAAGCCCACCTTGTCCTCATTTCCAGGATCACTACTATCCTAGATTATTGCTCTTGATCTGATTGTTTCTGTGGAGACACAAGGCTCCTATAGACTAGAAGAGTCTCATACTTGGCTGGTGCAGGCAAAGAAGGTAAGCTCCACCATTTCGTCTCACCTCAGGAGCTCACATCTCACCTCATCATCCACTTTTGGCTTCTCAAAATAGCTTGTGCCTCTTCTTTTCTTCCTCTCTTTCTCGGTCCCGCTCTCGCTCCCTCTCTCCGATCTCGTCTCTCCTCTCCCGCTCCCGGTCCCGGTCCTCTGTCTCGTTCCCGATCACGCTCCCGTTCTCGATATCTCCTCTCGCTCCTTGTCCCGAGGTGTCTTGGTTGTAGAGGGAACATAGTCCCCAATGTCCTCAAAAATGCTGAGAAAAACAGGTATTACTAGCTGCCAATTTTACACATACTTCTACTTATCTTGACCATTTCTACAAATTTTCAACACCAAGACCTTTCCACTCTTGTCTTTGCCAAAGACAAGAGTGTATTTCCCTGGGCTAGTATACATACTTCATGTCAGCCTCAGGAGGCTTCTTCTCTTCCATCTTCCCTACAATAGAAAGAGAGAAGTCAGGAATAATCTCTTGAGGTGACTCCAACTCAGACTTATCATCCTCTCCAGTTCTCAATGACCTATTAGATAGCTTGTTTGAATTATAGAACAAAGTTACCTACCCTCTCTCCTGTTTCAAACCTAACCACTGCTTTTTTTTAAGTAAGCCAAACAAACAGAATCTAGGTATAAGCTTTTTTTTTTTTTTTTTTCTTAGGTCTGGTCATGCAGACTGAACTCTTGGCCTGGGCACTGTCCCTCAGCTCTTCAGCTCAAGGCTAGCGCTCTACCACTTGAGCCACAGCACCACTTCTGGCTTTTTTTTCTTTTTTTTGTTTGCTTTATGTTGTGCTGAGGAATCGAACCCAGGGCCTCATGCATGCAAGGCCTCTACCACTGAGCCACCTTCCCAGCCCCTAGGTATAAGCATTTGTAAATGATTCACTGCTGTTTTTCTCTGCTCTTTTGGAATCTACCAATTTCTGCAGAAGCTTTGGAAGACCATGGTTCTATCTCCAAAATGTGGGTAATATTTCTCTCCCGAATCCTTTACATACCTTTATCCTTCTTCTTGAGCTTCTTGTTGCGGGTACCCTGCCTCAGGTATGAAAGGATCTGAGTGAGTTTGCTGATGACAATGTCATTTGTTGTTAGTGTGGTCTGGGCCTGAAAAACCCCAAAGAGAAAGAAGGTTTTCCGACTGACCAGAATCCCTTCATTTAGTCATTTACACAATTCAACATTGAGAAGGAAGACAGGGAAAAGAGCTACAATAGAAGGAAATTCAAGACAGATGAAGAAGCATGCAAAGAGGCCCTGGGTCAAGAGTGAATCTGGAACTAACAAGAAAGCCAGGGCAGCTGGGCACTGGTGGCTCATGCCTATAATCTTAGCTACTCAGGAGGCTATAATCTAAGGATTGCATTCAACACCAGCCCAGGGAGGAAAGTCCATGAGACTCTTACCTCCAATTAACCACCAGAAAACTTGAACAGGAGCTGTGGCTCAAAATGGTAGAGCACTAGCATTGAGGAGAAAAGCTCAGAGACAGTCCCCAGGCCCTGAGTTCAAACCCCATAACAGAAAGATAGAAGGGAGAGAGGAAAAGTGGCAGGCAGGCCAGGGAAGCTGAGAGACTAGAAGGGAGGCATAGTGAAAGAATCTAAAATGGCCAGATATTACAGGAGCTCAGAAGCTCATGGAAGGGATTTTGCTCTTTATCCTAAAAACAAAAAACCTCACGACACTTCTAAAGAGTGGTGATAGAGGTATTTTCATTTAAAAAAGATCTCCCCTGGACATGTGTAAAAACCATAATGGAGGGGCTGGGAAGGTGGCTCAGTGGTAGAGCGCTTGCCTTGCATGCCTAAGGCCCTGGGTTCGATTCCTCAGCACCACATAAGCAAAAAGAATAAAAAAAAAAAACCATAATGGAAGCTGAAATGGAGAGACTATAGGGTGATGGATGACAAAGAATATAAGGTTTTTTTGGAGGGATGAGGAACATATTCTAACATTGATTGTGGTTGTGACTACAAACTCAACAAATGTATTAAAAACCACTGAGTCAACTTTCAGAAGATGAATTATATAGCATGCTAATTATATCTCAATAAAAACAAGATAACAATATACTAGAAAGGAAATCAGAGCAGGAATAGGAAAGACAATCAGGGTCGTTATTCAATAGTTGTAGCAAGAGATTGGGGCATAGACTAGAATGTTAGAGATGAAGAAAAGTGAATGGATTCAATGGAAACTTAGGAGGTAAAAACTGAACAGAACTTGATGATATGGTAACTAAGGGGTAGGGCAGAGACAGATTCCAAGTATAAGCGCCCTCAAAACTGTTACTCACCTCCATGGTTGGGCAATCAGCCTTGCTACGGATAAGTGTGGTGGGAATATCTGTGTCAGCATACTCATCGTCCAGGTCTACCACATAGGCCATGCGGCCTGGTAAGAACAGCTCATTCCGCTCATAGGCTTTGCTCTTAAAAAGCATACGATAAACATTGCGGCCTACACAAAGGGGAAAACCAACAAACAGCCAATGGGAACCTTCTATAACAGCAAACATTTATTAACTGCTCACTTGTGCCACACATCAGGCCAAATACTATTCATACTTTGCTTTAGTGAGTCTTTACAATAACCTTGTGAGATAAGAATTATTACTTTTTGTCCCTCCCCCACAGTATAACCCCTGCTTTCACTATATTTGATGTCAGTATAACTTGTAGAGGAGATGGGGAAAAACCAGTTATTTAAGGATACAGGTGGACCTGTTGCAACAATGAGAAGTACAAGTTGTCATGTCCAAAACGAGCTTTACAATGCCGGTGCGCGGTGGGGGGGGGGGGGGGGGGGGGGGTGGTGGCTGGGAAGGGATGTGAAGGGTAAACCAAAGGAGGAGGCTGCAATGCTTGGTAAGAAATGTACACATTATCCTGCCCATGTAATTGTAACCCCTCTGTACAGTATGTTCACAAATAAAATTAAATTAAATTAAAAAAAAAAAGAATTATTACTTTTTGCTGAGAAGAACACTAAGACTGAAAATTAAATGATTTATCTAGTCATATAGCTATGAGCAGAGAGAAGAATAGGACCTAAGCAGTCTAACTCCAAAGCCTGGGTTCCCATTCATTC